CAACAACCTGTACATCTTCCAGGACAAACTCAACTCTGAGATGCATTAATGAACGGATGTCAGCGGTAGATACAAACGAGTTTACACCTGAACACACAACTATGCCAGAATGTACACATTTACGGACATATACCCACAGGAATATGCCTAACACGCACTCACACACGACCAGAAAACATACACACATCTAGGTCTGCTCTTTGACGCACTCCCTCACCTCCTCTCCCCAGCCTCCCAGAACTGAAAGGACCTAGAAAGGGCTAGAAAGGGAACAGGCTGGATTACGCAGTGGATTATGGATTGCAAAATTGTCCGAACTGTGGATTTCTTGATTGTTAACCTCTGGATTGTCCTTGATGGTGTGTTGATTGCTACAGCTCAGCTTCTGAGGGGGATAAACCCTTCGCACTAGAGAGACGTTTACATATTTGTCTTTTTTTTTTTTTTATGTTATGGATCATATCAGAGCATCTTTTGCTATTCCTCCCACCCCCCCCACGCTCCTCACTAATCACATCATCTTCCTCTCTCTTCTAGCTCTCTCGCACGCACACACGCTCACCTCTTACTCCTTGCCCACCTGTTCTTGTCGTACCAAAAACCTGCTCGTGCGTTGCTTTCATCCAGCGGACCAGCTGGGCACTCAAAAAAAAAATTGGTGCGCATTTATGTAACTGGCCGTTTGTTTAATTTCGGATCAGCTACCCCCACTTCTGTTTTTGTAACTTCTTGTTAAATGATGTTAATGATGGCAATTATGATGACAATGAGAATTTAAAATGATAATGTGTGATGTGCAAGGATGAACTCGGGACCCTCCCCCTTAACCCAAGCGCACCAAGAAGCCTCTGAGCTCAACTTCAGTGAGGTAAAACATTTACAGTGCTGCAGATAGAAGCAGTTAATAGGTTATTACCCCGTGGCCTAATATGAGGACACACACTCATATATCTGTTCCACGCACTGTGTTTCAGTCATTAATGTTTTCTCTGCTGAAACAGGCCCTTCAACGTCTCAGATTGTGGATTCTGCTTCTGGTCTGGGGTTGCGTCGTGTGCTACTTTGCCGTTAAATACAACTCAGATCAAGCAAAAAAACCAACAAAAAATGAAGTAAATAATTTCAACAATCGAGCAAAAAGATGCTGCATGTAGAACCAATTTAGCCTAGGTGTTTATAAATTGACTGACTGACTTGGCTGCCTTCTTAACCATTTAGACCCAGCTGTACAAAGGCTTCAGGGGCCCCGGAGGCCCCATGCAGCACGAGTAACCATAGATGACCGAGCTCTCCTACCTTTATTTGTGTCTTCGGGCACTGAAGCATGTTTACCAGTGTTCGGTTCATACACTTACATGTACATTTTGAATGAAGCCGTCCAAGAATCAGTTTCTTCTCGACTGAAACTGAGAACCAAGAAGAATGGGGAATGTTTTCATTAATGTTGTTCTCTAAAAGAAAAAAGAAAAAAAAATCCTAAAGGGCCTAAATGGTGTCTGTATATATCAACTTTTGACATGTACGAGGTTTTTTTTTTTTTACATCCATAAATGGACGTCGGACTCGATCATCTGTATCGATGATTGCCTCCAAAGCTGCAGCAGAGGGATGGTCCTTTAATCTCTTCAGCCTTCCTCACTGATTACTTTGCTGATGTGCAGAAGCTTTTATTTTTAGAGAACAATTTATTTTATTTATCCTTTTTTTTTCCTGTCAATTTTACTCCACGTCCCGACCAAACTAATGTTGATTCACATATTTTTGTGTTAATGTATGTTGATGACAAAATTGTCAAATGGACAGTTATAAATAATGTTAATATGTTTTTTCTGAATAAAGATTTCAACGAAATTGCATCCAATGAGCGTACATCTGTGATTTTTATTGCGATGTAATTAATTATGTAAGACCGATAATAATTGCCAGTGCCATTATGGAAATGTGTACGCTTTATAGCTTTCAGTTTATATGGGCCTATAAAGGGGGGGGGGGGTCATCATTAGAGTCTGTGATACTACTCATGCATCTGAGGCACCACCTAGTGTCCTTACACACTTATTACATCTGGAAACAAAATAATTTCCTCCTTAACCTCTTCTGTCATCACCCCCTCTGGAAGCCTTAAGAAATGAAGAAATAACACATTATCTGTTTGCAACTAGTAACATTACAGGAGAATCTAACAGTAAGAGTCGGGTTTTATTGCTATAACATTACTACATGATCTGTGTGTTTCTTTTTTTGATTGTTTCTCAGCCTGTTGTGCAAATAATGTGAAACTTTATACTCACAAAAAACATATCTCTCCTGCTATTTCAACAGTGAACTAGAAAGGGTTTATTTTTCATGTTTTGGGTTTCACTAATGTGTTTGATTATTTTTCTTTTCTTCCCCGTTTAGTCTGTCCATCTTGTACTTTACAGGCAATATTGCTTTCTGAATAAATCTTTCTAACCTGAATCTTGTCTGAGAGCACTCATGTTGTTCCCAAAACACATGTGGGGCCAATTACATTAAACCTGCAATAGTGGATTTTGTTTGTCCAGTCGAAACACATCGACTCTTAAGTTGATCATCAGTCGGCAAACTTGTTATCAGTTCATTTAGAGCCGTATTTCTGGGCTCTAACAAGTCCTGAGGGAAATATTTAGCTGCTTAATGCTGTATTCTTCTAGTGCTAAGCTGGTAGTGTACAATGTATTTTTAGACATTTTTCACCGTAAACAGTTGCCTGCTGCGGAGTTAAAGTACTATGTGAGAGTGAACCAGAACAGGAAACTGCTAAATGAGTACTACAATGCTCAGTAAAGCTGAGAGGAGCTGCAGATTCAGGAGACGTTTCTCTGAAGGTTCCTGCAAACACTTTTTTCCCAGTGAAGATTAAATTTGTGATGCAAAAATTATAATTCCCACACTAATTGGGAATCATATTGCAATCTCAATATCTGTCAAAATAATCACAATATGATGTTTCAACTATATAATGCAGCCCTAATTGCTTATAAAGGCAGGACTAAGAGCACGCTTCAAACCTTAAAATATTCCCTTTCATACAATTAATGTTAAATAAATACAGCAACAAGTAAATGTTTTCATTATGTTTATGGTCACAGTATAGAAACAGTAGTGACATCCTAACGTAAAACACATCATCACCTCTGGGACTGCAAATATTCAATATATTAAATCTCTGCACAGCAGAGATGGAGACAAACGAAAGAGGAGAAAGAACAGCTATAGGAGAAAAAGAGACATGAGAAGAGAGAAGGCAGAGATAAAAAACTGCTCTGTAATAAATATGCAGGTGAGCTATTTAAAGGTTAAAGATTAAAGACATGATTTAGTTTATTCTCTATTGAAATTAGTCATAAGGCACTTGACATTTCCAATACCATCAATGTCATCATTATATATTATACGTACTGTACTGTACAGTATATATACTGTATATGTAAATTACTGTATAATGTTAAAGGATTAAAGCTTGACATCAAATGCAACCTTTACAAAGTTATCATCAGCATTACAACCTTTTCTTCTATAATTTGTTGCCTAGAAACAAAATAGGGTTCAACAGTTCAACAAAGAAACTGTAAAATGTAAATACTGATGATTTTGGCTACAAATATTTGATAAACATACACAGAGATGTATTTAGCACTCATAGTGTTTGTATAATGAACAAACAAAATAAAAACTTCATTGACAGACTCCCCGCGATGAGCACAAGTGTAGCTTAAGTTGGATGAAATGCACAACGGACGAGCTGTTGTTTTTTTTTTTACTTTAGTGTTAGGCAGTGAATTACTTATTCTAAAAAACGTTCTCCCCTTTTGTAATTTAACCCATTGAATTACGTATTCTCACACATTTTGGCTCAAAAGCTCTAAGAAAGCAGACACACACTATCTCAAGTTCAGATTTACAACAGCACTGATACCACTTACGTCTGAGTACCTTTCCACTGTCTTACAGCACTAAATAATCGGCAATATTGCAACAAGATTTTCACGAGAACAGTGTTGTACAATCGTTGTAGTCCTCCAACTGAAGATGTTATTATCATAACCGCACATCGGAGGTGTGTCTGCTAGATCTCCCTCCCTCTACTCGCCCTCCTGTGTCACAGTCTCTGTTTCAGTCTCTGAGTGTTGCTCTAGCCGAGCGGTCAGGAAGGGGTTGAAGAAGAAGTCAAAACCAAACTGCAGGGCCGTCTGAGCCGTGCGCCTCCAGTCGTGTTCAATCTTGTACTGCCTGCGGCTTGGCACCTGGGCATTGGCGCACGACATGCAGTGAATGGCTTTCAGTTCAAACACGGGCCATTTGGAGCCTAAACGGCCCTCCAGTATGGTGCTAAACTCCACCAGGCTTCCTGTGTTTAAGTGTAAAAGAACAGACTTGAACTCATTGCTAGCCCGCAGAACTATGTCCTTAGTGGCATCCTCGTCCTCTATGATCGTCCCGTTCTTGGTCTTCCTCTCCAGTGGCATGCCCATTGTGACTTCGAATTTGTATCGATCAAAGCGTTTGATGTGGCACTCGTGCTTAGCCAGTTTTTTGAGCTTACAGAGGGGATCTTGCGGCGGAGGAGCCGGGGCAGGCAGAGGCTGGGGCTCGGTCGTGGCGTTTTTCACGTCCTCACACAAAGGATACGGATCACCATACAGGCACCGCATCCAGTTCCCCATAAATACTGGCAGCAGGTTGATAACCGAATGTGGCCCATTCTCAATGTCCGTCACACGGACGTATTTGAAGCGTCCAGTCCAGGTGACGCGATGTCCCTCCAGATGAGAGCAGAGAATCTGAGTTTGAGCCATGTTGGACTCTTTCCAAGCCAGAGGGCCGCAGAGGTTGCTGTACTCAGGCCACGTCAGGGTGGAGTTATAAACCTTCATGCCCTCAGACCTGTAGACGTACATCCAGCAGAAGAGCACCACCGCACTGAGCCACACCAGGATGAGCTTCACGATGCTGCTCCGTGACAAAGAGCGAAAAACCACGATGGGGTTTAGGCTGAATCGGGTCCAAAGCCTCAACACTACCGGCACAAAGCAAATTGTCAGCGTGACCACCATTTTGGTCAGCTCCAGGGCGAGAAACCACTGCACTAACTGGATGATGAGCATTGCGGCCAGGCCCAGTGAGAGTATAGGAAGGGCAAACAGGAAGAGGAAGTAGCCAACGCAGGTGCGGATGAGTCCTATTGCAGTGGCGTTGTTGAGGAGCACCAACGTGAGCTCGCACCAGGTGAAGCAAACCAGGTAGGGCACCAGGCACAGGTAGGTGCCCTTGAAGCCTCTCAGCTGGGCCATGCGGAAGAGGAGATAGAAAAGGTGTCCGTATAAAAGACATGGCATCCCCAGGTTAAACTCCACCATGTCCCCTAGAGGCACAGTGATGAACGTCACCCCAAAGACCTTGAGGAACCAGAATGAGCCTGGCAGGAGCTGAGTGAGGGAGCACGCTCCGGAGAGGACCTCTGTAAGGAGGGCTTTGCGGGCAAAGAGCTGAGCAGAGGCATGAAGGCTGAGAAAGGCGGTAACAGTGAAGAAGAGAGTGACAGCGGCCAATTCTGAGCAGGGGATCCAGGATTTATCAGCAACAGGGAAGGAGAAAACCACAAAGACAACAGAGAGCAGGAAGTACCTGAAAACACAAAGAGATGGGTTGTATTCACTATACTGCTGAAGCATTGTTTATCCATAAACATGTGTATTTATCATCCTGATTGCATTCACTTTCTAGAATTTTCTGTTTATTTTGAGAATTATACCCTTTCTACTTCTTTATTTGTTCAATTTGTTTTATTAATGTTAACATTACAGAAGTTAAAGTAAAAAAAACAACTTACTGATTGCTCCTTAATTACACTAACATGAAATCTATAAAATAAGTCAGCCTTAACTAAAGAAACACAGCATGATTGTATCTACATGACAATGTCAAACACAAATGTCAAACTTGTAAAACCTGAACAAAACCAAACTTTACATTTGCCAACGTAACAGAGTAAACAGCTAAAGGCATCGGCAAAGCAATCAATGTGTTTCCACATGGGTTCATGTAAACAGAGCTGTACTTACAGATAAGGCTCCAAGTGTGTCCATCCAAAGTTGGTCTCAGCCTGCTCCAGATCAAGACCGGGTTCAAAGTGAGTCAGCAGGTCTGTCAGTGCCCGGAAATTTTCCCATGCTTTAGAATTCTGTGGTAAAAGATGCTTATTTAGTTTCTGTTTTTGTACTTGTACCTCCTTAGAGAAGTGCACCTATACTCTAATACACATACTAACGACTAACCTGAAACACCCGCAGTGTGCAGATGATCATGGAGAAGAAAGAGAGGTAGAAAACCAACAAAGGGATGAGGAAGATGAAGAACTCAATTGTGAGGTTGGAGATGATGAAGAAGAAGATAAGTGCGTTGACGTGGTGAGTTGGGATCAGGGCGCTGAGCCACTGCATGCCAGCCCTTGAAGCCCAGTCGATGAGGTGCTCCTTGATTTCCAGCAAAGCATACAGAGGGAACTTCAGCAGCTGGAGGGGGGGGAAGAGCACAGGAGGGAGCATGGCAATGTCAATTCTCATTGTATATATACACCACACAAGTTGCATATTGACCATGACTAACTTCTGAACTAGTTGGGATGTAGGTACATGTCTTTAACTTAAGATTTAAGGTGACAGTAGATTTTCTGTAGAGCACATACATCATTCAGCAGTCAGGGTCAAACATCAAAACAAGTGAAGTGAAAAACAAATGCTTTAGTTGAGGGGGACTTTAAACAAACCCAAACCCTTTAAACAAGAGAAGAGAGAGACTAATGACATTCTTAAAAGGCCTGAGAGCTCTCTACCTTTTGGTGTAAGGGCAATTCATCAGGATTCTTCACTACTACGTCATCATCGTCATCATCATCATCACCTCCTGCTGCAGCCATGACTGGTGAAGGTTCAATACCCTGAGCATACTTCTTAGTCATCTCAACAAAGTCGTCAAGGCCCACACGGGAGGTGGCTACAAAGAGACACAGAAGAGACGTGTTGGATGTCAACTTACAAGTCTGAAAGTTACTAATTTCATCTCTTAAAGCCCCAATATGTAACTTTTCTACCTTAAGATAACAGCTTCACTAACATTTTGATGCTACGCTTTTAATAGTTGGGATGAGTTGGGGCAATGTTTCAAACCACACATACCCTCTCTGGTGACCATAGTCTCCAGGACTCTCCTCTGTTTCTTGGCAGAGCTGTTTAGTGGACCCGGGGAGACTGGTTTGCCTGTAAATACAAGAGAAAATAGTTTTAATAGCAAATCTTTTTTTGCCTCTTTAAAATCATTTTCAGCATGTTGAGTAAAGTACTTCTACTACTATATATTTGATTTAATAAGCAACATAAAACTGTGCAATGTGTGTTAAATTACGATATGTCCCCTCGCGTACCTGGCTCTGTGTGGACGTGTTCAACGTTCTCCAGCATCTCAGAAACAGCCACTGACTTCTTCCTCTCCGGGTTCAACTTCCAGTACATTAGCAGAGCTGCTTTCCTAACTCCTCTCTCAAACCGTGTCTCTGTACACAACTTCTTCACCTCCTCAAAGTTCTCCAGAGTGATGCCTGAAAAATAAGAACACAGATGAACACACTGATGATGGACAACTATTCCCAGCATCAGTTGAATTCATAACATTAAACTGATAATTTTCATGCTACTTTGCTAAAAGCGATAGACTGAGGGAAGGTACCTTTCCTGGAGGCTAAGCACTGTTGCAGCAGTTTGACGGCGTCCTTGCGCCCTTGTTTAGCAGCCTGGATGAGCCAAGTCACTGCTGTACAGTTGTTCAGCTCCTCATCTCTTTCTTCTGCCAGTGCCAGGAAGTAACGCCCCATCTGGACAGACACAGACATACACAAAGACTCTTAGAAATGCAAGGCAAGCATAACTGTGACTTAGTTGACTCATGGACTGTCCTTCCCATCAATATGTCGCTTTAAAATAATATTTATCATTACTTGGCTGATCTGTTGATATGTGCCCGCCATATGGTCGTTAAAGTCAAAAGTATTCGCAGTATGTTCATTGACACTGACCTTCGTCTGTGCTTTAACATCTCCTGACTTTGCTCTCTCCTCCAGATCCTCAAAGCTGACCTCCTCCTCCGGCTCTTCTGAAGGAAACAGAAAATATATTACTTACAAAAATAGGTACGCAATATATCACAGATTCTAATAAAACTGTGTCCAACAAAATATCTTCTTGTGTAAAATGTATGGCTGTTGTTAATCATAAAGGTATCTCTTCTGTAAATAGGTGGATAGCACTAAAGGACTTGTGGTGGGACAACAAACATTTGAACTGAACATGATAACTTTGATGTCAACTCAATGTAGTTCTAGATGAAACTTTTCTTGACAAGGTAAGGCAAATATATTTGTTTAGCACCTTTTAACATCAAGATATAAAAGGCATTAAGACAAGATATAAAAGAAACGCGAGACAAACTAAACATGTGCCAACCCTCCCCCCACACACACACAGCTCTCTAATCATGGCCCAGAACATTGAAAGCATAGCATCCAAGTTATGGTAGTCTTATTTATAGGGCCTGAAACTGCTGACCAAGCTGTTTCCATTTCAAGTTAATGTCAACAAGTGACAAATACTGTGGAAAATACTTTAACTTCACCCAAATCTGTTATTTTACCTATAGCCTTAAATTTGAGCTTCAGGTGAGTATTTAAAGTACAATCATCTTTGGTTTTAAATTCGCTGCACACATGGTTTAGATAAACATGAAGAAGCATGTGGAAGACAGTCCAGTTCGATGTGCCAGTGCAATGAGATCCTTCCAGAAACAGCTTCTGCCCTGATAGCAATGTCCCTTTGAAACTTGCTGGTTTAATTATCATCTTCTTTCGACTGATGGGTTGTGCTACTCTCAAATCCCAGTGCCTCACTTGAGCTAGAGCTCACACGGAAAATGTGTCTACCTCTATTTCAGTATGGCGTCATATTTGTTATATTTAAAACAAGTGGTAGGAAATCGTTCTAATCATTTATACTAGGAAATAAATGGAGGTGGCGAGACATGCTTTCCAAGATTCAAAACGCCCACTGGATGAAAGTGACACTGGCGTGAGAAGTGGGAGTCTATCTGTGCCTGAAAATGCAAAGGGATCCAGTAACTTCCACCAGATGCCCGTCAACGCTGCTCATACCCTGATCCTCCGGCTGTGCCCCAAAATAACTGTTTGTTTAGCACAGTCAACAGCAACTGCTAGCTTCAGGGTTTCTGCTGGTGTCAACAGGTTAGATTTAAGACTTTTTAAGAAACTTTTTAATACCATTATGAATGCAATTTAAGACCTTCAGTATTTCACGTCCATACTGGCAAAAAAACAGTACAAGAATATAAAGAAAAATGGTATTGGTTCCACATCGGTTCATTTTGTAGTTAGAGCAGGATCAATACAAATTCCTCCAAAAAACACATTTAAAAAGACTGAAAATGTTTGCCTTATAGAAGTAATGTTAATTTCATAAATCCAATATTTTTTTAAGATCTGTCAAACTCACATTTAAAACATTTTTAAACCTAAAAGTCTAATTATTAGATTTTTAGACTTTTTAAAACCCTGCGTAACACTTACAAAGTGAAGCAATCGGTCTCCAATCTTTACTTTTATTTGCTATAATATGACCATCAGTTCAAATCTAGACAGCTCCACAGATGATTCAGGGAATGTCTTTTGAAAAAGGACAGGACCGGGTCTAGTGGAAACAATTGTGATCCAAATGAACATTTCCATATCTTTACATGTCTAGACGTCACTGCAAAGCAAAAAAACTAATTAAAACGTGAGTGCAGTTAAGAGATCTCCTACAATGTCAACTATACATGCAGGATTTTGGTTAGTGGGAAATAAGCAGAATTTAAATGATCTACGGAAAGATGAGGGTGAGACAGGTTTTTCTCCTCGAGTCAGCAGAGTGGGAGAGGCTGCTTTACATGTTGTGGTAAATGTCTAAGGTTGTCAGTACACACAGTAAACTGGGAGTGTTAGCTGCACTGATTGGTGGAGAAGAGGAACAAGAAACAGCAAAGAAAAGATTCTGCGATTAAAAGTGCCAAAGGTCAGAAATTCTAACCTGGTTCAGGCGTGGGAGGAGGCCTTGGAGTCTTAGCAGCAACTCCAGCAGCTGTGGATCCAGCTGGGGGATTCCCCGTACAGGCTGCATTAAGCTGAGATCTGCCCACCTGAGAGGGGCTCCTGATGGGCTGGTGGAGAGGGGAGGCAGGTGGCGTGGACAGGGACGAAGAACGGGAGGAAAGACCTGGAGAAGTCCGAGGGGAGGCGGTGGAGGGAGAAGATGAGGGCGTGGCTGGAGGCGTTGGCATGGTGAGTTTAGGCTTAGGGCGCTCTGAGGTTGGTGCGATTGTGGTAGAAGATAAGCTGGAAGAGGACAGGCCTGGCCTCAGGGTGGAGGGAGATGAGGGGCTGGATTTTGGGGTGGCTGGATTGTTGGTCAGTGATGGCTCCATGGCTGAAAATGGCACCAGATGACAAAACCGTCAAAAAACGCACTTGTGCAGTTTAATCACAATCACAGTGACGTTAGAGAGTCAGTGATGGTAAAGTAAGTGGATATGGTAGCACGTGTATAGCAGCAGTGTCAGGGAGCACATGTTCAAGGCAAAACAGCTGACAGGGAGAAGGTATGAGGGAGAAGGAAGTGACAGTGGAGTAACAGGTGTTGTGAAAGGACACTGTCTCTTTTCTGTTCCATCTCCTCAGCTCGGTACACAAACACACACTGAATCTCCCCCCGAAGCCTCATCAAAAACTACTGCTTAGTGAAATCATATCTATAAATCAAAGCATTTAGATATTTTGTGTGACATTGACACATCAATGCCAAGTGGTGATGTAACAAAACAAAAACATTTATTAATTGTATGCATAATTTGAACACTATAATATGACATATATAAGCTACAAAGTCTGATATGTTTTCTAAAGGAAAAGTTATTTACTGTAAAAAAAGATATAAACTCTGACATATATAATACTATATATATATATATATTTATATATATACTACAGGCCAGCAGATCT